AATACTTGTTCGTCGAAGGTAATGTGTCAACGGCGATAAACGTTTTTGTAGTGTATGAATATTTATAAAGTTAAGAAAAATTGAAGGCCCGTTACAATTTACAATGCAAACGAAAATATCAGACTATAGCAAAAAAAATAAACAGGCACGTAGAAACATTTTGCGGTGTTAAACATTTGTAAATGGAATGTACGGATGCGACGCGACGGAAATCATCGATGAACGCTATTATTTTATAAGAGAGTGAATAGTCATTGAAACCGAGTAAACGTGAAAATGGTAAATCCTGTACGTCCACTATCAGTCCGTAAATCGTGCAACATCGCACGCTTATCAATCTACGGTTTCGATGAAACGCTGTACTATCAGCGTTGCAATGAGTGCAGGGACAAAAAAGAAATCTTCACATACGATAAGAGAAAAACTTGCAAATGGAATTAATCCCTTGGCGTACTCTTTACTTTCTCTACTAACCTCGTGTAATATTTTACTATCGACAATTTGGAAGAAATGCAAAACTTTCTATTCTACTTCGAGTGGAAATTTCATTTAAAGATAATACATTGATAATAGCAAAATAGTTCGCTTTGAACGGTGGGTAACGAACAACATTGATTGTTGTTAAATTAGTCTAGAAATTTTCATCCTGAGACACACTCGTCATTGTACGTCAAGGAGTTAAGAAAATGAATGAATTAAATTATGAAAATTTAACCAATTAAAGGCTAAATGAAAACTGACTCAGAAGTAGGTTATTTCAAATCGTCGCAACTTTATTCATGGAAAATTATCTCTATAACCAGCGCAATAGAAGAGCATGAAACTATTGCGACACCGGGTATACAGAAACAGCGCAACTGGAGCGCCTCAATGAGGGTCGCATCGATGCGTCGGTAATTGTGCTCCGAAATTTTACGGCGAGAATCTATTACCGCTGATAAAACTCATTCTCACGAGCGACGCGCTCGCTGGCAGTGCGTCACTGCGACGAAAAATTAGATAACTCGATAACGGCCAATGGAAATCATGCGACAACGTATCCCGATAGTGATAAACAGGATCACTTTCAATATCGAGGCTCGTCTGTTCGTTATTTTCATTACTGAAATTGAGGAACTTTATAAAATGCTAAATTCAAGCGATAAATGATACCGATAAATAGATTACGTTACAAAACACCATATATTCCAACGATCATGTACACCACCGGCCAAAAATTTAAAATAACTTGCTGATCCCCGTGATAAGAGAATATACCGATTATCTTTGAAATGATCGTTTGTTGTTACATCAGATATCAACACGTTGCATTGTGATTTCAGAGATTTCAGCTAGTTCTTACGTTCATAACGCTCTTATACAGGCAATACACCCAGTTTAACAGTAGAACTACTTAGCATTTATTATGCTTGATCTGTGGTCCGTATAAAAATTGTAACGATAGATTGTTCTCAATCTTTGTGGATATTTGTTATAGATCTCAAATGGAACTATTTTCAAAATCGTTTTGAGTACTCAATGCTTTTAAAGTACCGATCGTTATGAAACAAGAAAAACGAAAGTAGTTAAAATGTCTGAGTAATTCAATTAGATTTCCTAATTTTTCTTTAGAAACTTCAATATCTGTTGAGATTTAAGCGTTGAGCATTACATATAGTAAAGATACAAAATTAGAAACACTCGAAAAACTAATAGCCAGGATGCTCAGAATATACCAAGCTCACCGGTGACCCCTACGGTATTCAACGTATTAACCCCCAGCATTGCAGGTTGTTTTGTAATCTATCAGCAACTGCAACTAATTTTTATAGTATTCCTAGCGAAAATCAGAAATGCTATAACATTTCTTCGATCTTTTATTTTCTTTGTTAGTACAAACTTTGAATGCGTGGAAAATCGAATAATTTTAGAGTAGTTTCTCTAAGATTCATTAAAATATTTAATATTATAACTGGTGCAATATTGGAGCCTACAGAGTTCAACGTATTAAAAACGTTTCTCAACAGGTACGCGGTAATTCCAAACTTTCAGCCAATAGTGTACCTAAAGTCCCAGATAAAACGTCCCATACTCTCAGCGAGGAGCATGCAACGTCTAAAGCATGTACAAACATCCCGAACGATCCTCGCGCGCACGGCGCACGTCCGCATGGCGAGACTGCTGTACACAAGCATGTGGTTGATGCGCGAGCCGCGTAAACGCGATGACAGTTAGGAGGCGACGGTAAACGTATCGAAACGGGAACACGAGAGTGGATCCGCGGAAGAATTTCACGAGCCGCGCGACGTGCGGAACAGTTCGGACCGTTAGGCATGCACACGTGTGCCCGGAATACGTCAGAACGGTGGCACGTAAACAAACGAGTCGGGGGAGCGGTGGTAACAGCTGAAGAAGCGAAATGGGGCAACACGGCGTAAGAGGGGAACAGAGAAAACGGTTGATCGAAGAACAGTCAATGTCGAGCCGGAGCGTTAGACGTTTTGAATGTCACGGCAGAAATAGAGCGACGTAGAGGCGAAGAGAAAGGGAGAGAGCTGGGGAAAGAGCGGAGCAGGTTAGAGAGAGAAAGAGCGAAAGGTATGGTGACAGGTGGCGCGCTTTCGAATGGCCAAGAATTCGATAGTCGAGTATCGAGGCTCGAAAGAAACGCGACGTCGAGGCGTGAAATCGCGCGGACCTGCAGCTTTTGCTTGTCCTCGAGCAGATGGACATCCTGATGATCGGCGCCCTCGTGACCGGGTGGCACTGCATTCGGATGGGCCACGGGGCCCCTCGGGCCCAATTGCATACGAGGTGGCGCCGGTATGAGCAACTCTGGTCCCGCTTTCTGCATGTGCTGGTACACACGGTAGACACTGTTCACCGCCGCGCCGCCGGTACCCGAGTGGAAATCCGGCAAAAAGAAGAACGTACCGAAACACACGACACCGAACGACAAAAACACCAACAGGATCAGATACTTCTCACGGGAACGGAACGACCGTCTCGAGAACAGGGCAACCGGCACACCGTTCACGAACCGCTGATACGACGGCAGAACGCTCGACGACGTTGTCATTTTCACGATACCGTCACGCCACGCACGCACCAACGCACTTCCTGTTTTTACAACAAACGAAAACCCGAGCACTCGTGCGCGTTGTTGCCCTTTTCCTAGCCGTCGCACGCCATTACGAATACGGTGGCACGCGAGCACCACCTGCTCGACAAACTTGACACTTGGTCGCTGCACAAGCGCCGATCAGCTGGCGCGTTTCACGCGGGAACTACGGAACCGAGTCGCGCGGATTAATTAGCGCATGCTCGATGGGCATGATACGGGTGTGTTGATTGGTTCAGGTGAATTGATGCTTTCGCGTTTACTCGTTGCCGGTAAATCAGTTCTCTGAACCGATCAATGATGTACATCTGACTCTCGGTTTACGCGAAAACACGTTCCACGTGGGTTCGTTTTACGCGGAATTATGTAAATAGAGCCTGTCGGTACCAGAGAGGACAGAATATTGAAGAGGCTGGTATAAGTTTTAGAAATACATGTTTATTTTATATAGGTTAACAAAAGGAATAATAATAATGACATTTTAGAGAACGAAAGTATATTTTATTCGCTGTTACTAAATTCAGATTCGAATAGCGTTCCAATTTACAGCGTAAAAAAGAAGCGTGAGGAAAGTCCGCGTGAATCGAGGGTCAGGTGTAATGTTTTTGTATTAGTTACAGTGTAAGTAATAAAGTATAAATATAGGTTTTACACCAGAATTACCGGATCGGTCAAAATTGCTTATTTCTGATTTCTTCTTTTACAGTTACTGGAAAGGTACAGATACTACTACGAAATGATTAACGAAACTAATTCGGTAATGGCACTACTGGAATACAGCTCAATTGAAATCTTAACACTAGGTTTATTGTACGGATTATTCTATTAATCCCAGAAAATTGATGTTCGTTTATTTAGATTTTAACAATAAAGGGTTGATCTTGAAGCTACAAGGGTGCGCAGCCCTGTCGGTACCACTTGTCCATCGGTTTCACCATTTTTCCACGGATGGCGCCATCGAATAAAGTACGATCCACGAAAACTGATCGAGCACCGACGAGAATCATCTTATGGAATTTCATGTCTGACGATGTAAAATATCGATGATGCAAAGAATGTGGACGTTTTGTTTTCTTTTATGAAAGTCTACATGGAAAATTATGTGTAGTCATGTATGCTTGCAGGACATTTATTACTCCGGGTATCATGTGTTGACATGGACGCCAAGACCCAACATACGATTTCAGCAATGATTCAAGAATCTTTTTGGGCATTTCACATTACGCAACTCTATGAAAGCGCGTTTAATAAATGCGTGGAATTATGTAATGCGGGATAAAGAAAAAAGAAGGGATTTACAAAGTGTTCAGATACGTTTATACTATCGTTCAGTCATTAAGTCGTACATGTACGTTACTTCCGCAAAGATATTCTTGATAAAAGTATTAAATAATAGCTACATATTAATCACCATGAATTAAAGAATTACAGCTTCTTCTTCCTCGTTTCTTAGTAACCACTATTTTACACGATAAAAACAGGTATTTCCAGTAGTAGATGTAAGGATCATTACGTGACCAAATAAATGTAAACAATGATGACGATGAACCGGTAAATTACGATGTTCGTGTACAAAACGCTATAAAGTAATGATCAGATCCCGCGAGTCAATTGTCTGATTCCACGCGGCATCCGGATGTCGCGAGCGTCACGTATAAGAAATCAATCGCTCCCGGTTTATCCCACTCCGCTTCATTCATTTCATAAAACATTGCTCGCGAATTAGTCTCGCGTGGCTATTGGCTCCGACGAATTCGAAAAGTACGTCCCGCGGTACACATTCGTTAGAAAAGGACGGCCGCGTTCGCGACTTTTGGATGACTGATTGCCGCAACGGGTGCATCAGTCCAGGACTTCACTCAACCGGGTAGCATGCGGCTCCTGTTGCTAATGTAAGTGACTGCACGCGGCGGATAACAAATAAACGTTCAACGTACAGGTATAACGCGATTCTTCACATTTTTTCGTGTACCGTCGATAACTCTTATCAGCAAGTACACCACAGCGTGAGTCATATCCAGATTAAGAAAGGTGATACAAACGAAGGTGATACAAACCAAACTTCATTCAATTCGAATACGCAAGAAGATTAACAGAATAATCGCCGTATACAAGATTACCGGAATAATCTAAAATTTCCAAGTTCTGTGATTACCGAACAAATTATTCCGACTTTGTCAAACTTTGCCGATTCAGTAAGTTACTACGTTAAACGAGTATTTACTTTGACGCACTGGGTATACACCGTTGTCAACAATAATTCTTTGCGATGACTGTTACTGAAACAATAATTCAAACGAAACCTGTGTCACCTGTGATCTATTTAACAAAATAAATGAAGATCTGCGAGAAGATAGAAAATAGGTGTCCTTGGAATAGTGTGCAATTAAATGGTGCAAGACTTTAAGAAAATATAATGCAGAGGGATGCGTGTCCACTGTATGATGTCACTCCACTTCACATCTTTTCCTCCGCGCAGGGATCATGCAGAGATTTCCTTTTTTTCCGCAGATGTCAGCTAACGGTCGTGGCATCATTCCCGGCGTCCTTATCGGTGGCCAGGATCTGGAGGACACTGGTCACGACGAATAACACGGAAGCGCAATCGGAACGCGACTATCGCGGAAACAAGGAGCAAAGAGTCTGCGAAACGGCGCACTGCAACGAGATCGGTGGGTTTCGCAATCCCACGACGTAACATTTACATGAATCGCGGTTTTTATCGCACAGAACCGTATTGCATAAGCGGCTACTCGCGTTCCATCGTCGGCCGCGTAAAAAGAGAACGAGTGAAATCGGAAAATGTTTTTATCGCGCCCGAACAATGAATTACGTGCGCTATGAGAACCAGGCACGCGAATAAACATGGAAAATCACCGTAAATCGCGATTAGACATCATCTGTTCTAACGGACAGTCATTTTGTAAAGCGATTGTCGATATATGCTAAAAACGTATTGATAAATTATAGACTTTTCGCTTGTTGTCGATGAAGTTTGAATAATAATTACTTCTCATGGAGACTGTAGTATAATTGGTTACAATTTTACTGGGTAATTAGCGTAATTTTTGAAATTCTACCGTTAATCGTCGAATGTATACGATTATTTTAATTTCACTTCGAATTGCAAGGATTCCCGTGAATTGTGTAGTATCGCAATGCTTGTTTAGTCTAGGTGAGGATATTCCACTTCAGTGCATAGTACTTACCGCTCAGAGACGAGGAACTGGTTGTAAATTGTCCAACGAGACGAGGCAGCAGACGTAAACAAAACATTCATGAATAAGCATTATCGCTGTCGCACCTAATTAGCTATTGCACATTTTTGTGCAGATAAAGGAATGGGTGACTAATTGTCGTCTACATTGTTCGAAGTCTGATCTGCTAATCTTTTGTCACTCGTATTTTTATTATTGATGGTCGTACCGAAAAATCGGATGCGCGACGATGCGCTGCAAAAGGCAACATTAACTTGACGAAGAATTTAAGAAAGCAAACAATGACAAGCTTTAATTTATTCTTTAATAACTGAGAATTTAATCATTCAAATTCAACACTAGAACTACCGAGCATTTAATAAGATTCATGTGTAATCCCTATAAAAATTGTAACAATAGATTATTTTTAGTTTCTTCGGACATTCATTATAATATTTAATTGGGACTATTTATTTTCAAAATCATTTTGAACATTCAATGCTTTAAAGGTATCAATAGTTGCGAAACAACAAAAGCGAAACCAGTAATTCTGATTGGTACGGGGTAGTTCTACTGTTAATCACGCATGCGACAATGAGAAAAGGTTAATATTTGGTTTGATCTTTTCCTTTAAACGACAGCTAGGAGAATTCTTGATAGTATGGACACCTCGGTAGATCCTTGCGAGGATTTTTACCAATACGCTTGCGGCTCATGGGAGGAACACAACGCTATACCAGACAATGAAGTGGAATGGTCCGAGGACGACGTCGTCACGAAGAAAACCTATGAACGCATTAGAGGCAAGACGAAGGTCCTTGTATCCATTTAAATGACCGATTTGTGTGTAGAGTTTTCATCTTTCTTCATCCAGTTTCCACAATTATTCCTCTGTTCCTCGTCAATGCATTCTATCCCATCGGAAAGAAACAGGCCAAATACAGCTATGTAGTTTCTATAACTACATATTCCTCGCATAAACATCTTTACAGAATTCCATAGATCATATTTGAATTATTCAGATTCAATTAAGATGCACGCATTCAATTATTTCTGCACCTTTTCTTTCAAGATGTCCTCGAGGAGCCAGATAAACCCACCGACATTCTGCCAGTTAAAATGGCGAGGAAACTTTATCGTTCCTGCATGAACGTTGGTGAGGAAAATACTGTTTATAAGAATATTCATTAATCAACCGTTACTTCATCGTATTCGCTTGAATCTTTCTCTCAAAATTTTAAGTAATACATGATTAAAGAAGGATCAACGTAGTTGTTTGTTATTGAGTGTTTAGTTGACGTATCCTCCATTTTTGCAATGGAAGTTCGGTGAATACTGCAATCGAAATCCATTTTTATGCACAATTGTTGTTTCGTGAAAACAGAGGCGATCGAAAGGAGAGGCATTAAACCTATACAAGAAATTCTGAACACTACCGGTGGATGGCCGATAGCGATGCCAGTAAAGGAATGGAGCTCTAAGAAATTCCCTTGGCAAAAGATCGACAGGGATTACGTGGCATTGATCGGCAACAGCGCTTTCTACAATATCGAATACGAAATTGATCAGAATGATACGACGCGATACGTACTTACAGTAAGCCTTCGTCAATGATACGATACACTCTAGTAATTATTGTGAACAATCACTTTTAGAGCGTCTCGTTATTTATATACACCTTGCAAATAGTTTAGAAACAGTTGAATTAACTGTTTCAAATATTTCGACCGTTGATACTCAATGAATCGTTTAAAATAATGCAAATGTGTACTTGTTTGCTAGGTAAAATATGATTATACACCGTTACAGATAGATCAAGATACAGAGCATCCTATGGGAGTGAAAAGAGAAGTCTCCAGCAACGTTGAACTCGATCGCAAATACTTGAAAGGCATCTATCTCATAATACATGCGTTTGCGAAAGAGAAAGGTTACAGACTGCGTCGGCGGCAATTGATCGATGACATGACGAAAATGCTGGAATTTGAAATCGAATTAAACGATGTAATAATTCTTACCCATGGTCCCCGCCATTCAGAATTGTCCAAAATATCTAACATAACCATATAAACTTCATAGATCATCGAAACGGACAAGGTGTCACATGCAGCCAACAATAACTCAGTAAGAATGACCATCGAAGAGTTACAGATGTGGTACGACAGTTCTGGTGTCAAGTCGAAAACAGCGCAAGTAAACCTAATATTTGAATTGAAACATTTCCTCATCCTCTTGCTTATCATTTGCAATCGCCACAAACAAGATTCGAACGCCTCATAAAATATAAAACCATTATCTTGTCAATTATAAAATCGTAAATAAGAGAATAGCAATTTTTAGTAGAAATCACCGAAATGATAAGCGAATCGCGAAAATTCTTGTAGAAATGTACGCGCAATAATTCACGATTCGAATGCATTGATTATTCATCACGCGCAGTGCCGTGTAAAGGAAACGTAAACGTCGCCACTTTTCCTGTTTCCTGTATCCTCTAATCAATTTTTCAAGTAGTACTATCAAGGCCGACCAGTGATTGTACGAGTGTATCATCAGCTCGCTATTAGAAGACAATTGAAGTAATCGTCGGACAAAGGTGAAATCTCTTTCAATCCTCTACGATTGCTTGCAGATCAATTTCTTGGAAGTGATGCAATACACGTTCAAGCGGGCTAACGTTAGCATAAACGCGACCGAACCGATTGTGGTTTATAACCCGATGTTCCTTCATAAACTGGCGCGGCTGCTGGGAAACACCTCGCAACGTGCGCTCGGTAATGCCGTAATTACAGAAATTTTACGAGCAACGGTAATTCTCGCTCGCCATCGCTCACCTGTACTCCCGACCGCGCTAGAATGATCGCATGACCGCCATCACGGTCTCTGATTCCCCTTGAATGACCGATGACCGTGGACACGGTATTGTTCTCATGGGATTTACCATTTTTAGTGAATTACGTGCAATGGAACATGATCAACAACTTTCTGTCGTACACCACGCAAGAGATGAAGGACATCGTTTTCAACATGTCCTATTCGTCGTATAATATCTCTAACTATATGCCACGGTATGTGAAGATATTGTATATGTTAAGATACCAGAAAATGGTTTGAGGTATTTCGAAAGAAGAATAGTAGAAAATATTTTACTTTCTTTGGACAATGAAAGTTTTAAAAGTAAAGGACAAAATTTTAGGACAAATGTGATTAAACGTTGAAAGAGTTGGGAAGTTAAGGGTTGAAAGATGGAATAGACATTCATAAGTCGAATGAATTTATTCTGGAGGGAATTAAATTATGATTAATTTTGGTAGATGGAAATTTTGCGTGCTTAACATGGAAATGGAAGATGCGGTGTCGTATATGTTCGTCAAAAAGTACATTTCGGACGACGTTATTGCCGAGGTACAGTTTGTTGATGTGATGACCAAAAAATGTGCTGAAAACTGGTTCCTATTGTTGACATATGAAATTTCGTCTCTTTCAAGGCAAAGAAAATGGTTCAAAGAATAAAAGAAGAGTTAGGTAACCGCATAATGCGTGCACAATGGCTATCGAGCTCAGTGAAAAGGTCTTTGTCGCGGAAATTGGATACGATTGAAATACAAATTGGATACCCAGAATGGTACAAGGACGATCAAGCTATGATTCAATTCTACAAAGGGGTACCGAAACGTTATCCAATGAATATATTAAAATAAAGCTACTTACATAGATCGCTCAAATATGTTTACGAATTTTTCGCAGTTAAATATAGGTCAGGACTACTTTCAAAATCTATTAAATTGCGCCGAGCACGAACTAATTAAGGGAATGAAAGATTTTAGAAAGCCCGTCGTCAGAACCGCGTGAGTTCTCAAGAACGTATAATAACCACTTAATTAACTGTAAAACATTTCTCGCATTCATATTAATTTCTAGATGGTTGGATTTTCCTATAACAGTTAACGCATTCTACACACCAGCAGTTAACACCATGCGTGAGTATTTCATCGAATAACAATTTTTCACGTGCACCTTAAAAATATCAAAATTAAAATCGACAATTTGACGTTGATTTTTTAGTTATTCCAGCAGCTGAGTTACAGGACCCCTTTTTCACGCCATTTTTACCGGAGTAAGTTCTATTATGTTCCTATTAAGTAGTTAACGCTAATTATATTTGTTGTCCGTGTTCTATCAGCGCCATAACTTATGCAGTCACTGGTTTTATAATCGGACACGAGTTATCTCATGGTTTCGATAACGAAGGTAGAATTCTACTATAATTTTCTTCGTACAAACGGCGTCTTCAAAACTCAGTTTCATAAATATGTATCAAATGTAAATCATTTTTTCCATTCAGGAATAAAATACGACGTGGATGGTTACATGTCTTCGTGGATTTCTCAGGATATAATCGACGAATACAATGAACGAGCATCCTGCTTCGTAGATCAATTCAATAATTACACCCTTGACGTTGAAGATGAAAATGGAGAACCTGTGCAGGTCATTTTTGTCTGGTTTATTAAATTTTACAAAATTTACATTTACAAGAATCGTTACTTCAACAACTACTTGCAGCTGTTTTATTAATTGTTCAGTTTAACAATACATCGAACCATGTATTATATTGTACAATTACAATAACAACTGAAGAGCTGAATAGGTGAAATAAAAACTTTGTTTAGGTGGATGGTAAACTGACAGAGGACGAAAATTTGGCTGACGCGGTCGGCGTACAAGTGGCTTTCGCAGCTTACAAGAAACTAGCGAGCCAGAAACCTCAAACGAAGCTACCAGGATTAGAGAATGTCACTGACGACCAACTGTTCTTCATAGAATTCGCGCATGTAAGTAGCATCTCGTTAAACTTCATTGAAGTTTATGAAAGCGGAGTATTTTCAGTGATAAAACTTGACTACTAAATTTCATGAAGTTGCCGATGTGCTTAGCTCTTCTCCGATTTCGATGATTTTCGAATATGTTGTTGGGAATATGATGTTGAACAGCTTTTTCCTTTATTTGTTGTCAACAGAAGGCTTTAGTTTCCGAGATAATCGTGAAAAACGTTTGATACAACATATAAAGTCGACCAAACCTTCCGTTGACAACAAATAAGGAAAAAAGTTGTTCAAAATCATGTCCACAACAGTAAATTTAATAATCATCGAAAGCGGAGCGGGCTAAGCACATCGACAACTTGACGCTAAATTTGATTGTATGTTATTTTAATAATACTGTCCACAGAATTGTCGATTCTTTTATAGCCTACACTTCAGTCTAACTGGATATTTACATTTGATTGTTATAAAAATTGATTCCTACAGGCCTGGTGTTCGTCAGTCAGGCCATTATACGCAGAGAACGTGGCCAACAGCGACGAACACAGTCCGCCGAAATATCGCATTATCGGATCCCTTACCAACATGGCTGCCTTCACCGAGACGTTTCAATGTTCACAGAACAGTCCAATGAATCCACCGCATAAATGTAATTTATGGAATTGAATAGTGTACTGTAAAAAGCGAATTTGTATAATTTTATACGTGTAAGTGTTGACATTAAAATGAAGTAAATGTTTTAAGCAATGTGAAAGTACTCGTATTGATGAAATACTCTTTGCGACGGGACATTTCCTTTCAAGAAATGAAACTGCAAACAAAATATTAATTAATGAATAAAAATCACGCGCTTTCTGCTACGTAATGAATATGCAAATTGAAGATCGAATCGGATTGAAATTTCTAACGTGAATACTAGTGATTCCAGGATGAAATAACTCGCAGAGATACAGAACTATTTTGACAGCGCTTTATTCAATGTCGTACGGGAGGAAATCAAGTATTTTTAAAACAAAATACTTATACAAAACGTATAAAACCGTGGATTTGTACATCGATCTATTACGCGGGCGATCGCGCGATATAACGTAACTGCTTAAGTACACAATATATTTATTTATGTATATATATATTTATATATATATATATGGTCA